CACACTTCACTACACAGAACAGAAGAAACAACATACTTAGAATATTTACTAAATTTTCATTTAACAATTTATTCAACTCCCTTCCGTATTCGTCCTGTGTGAAGTGAAGGCACTCAAAAGTGGTCTGAGTGGCAGCAAATACTAACAGCAACAACCTGCTGACAAAGTCGTAAATAGCTCTCTTTTTTAAAGATTACTTGCAAGCAAGCTGATAGTGGGTTTGACTCCCCGGCATATATTTGTATTAATTTACCACTGAAACGAATGAACAAACAGTAGAACGACTGTTCATCGGCAGAATGGAATCTTTTCTACTATCTCACTGCGCCATGCCTGTCGTCTCAAACAAGAACCAAAAAAAACCCCAAAACATTATGTATGATTTTAGCGCTTTTTATCTATTACTGGAGCGATGTATTGGTTTTTAGAAATCACTTCAGTGACTAAACTGAGATAATGCAAGCAGAAGTGACTCAAACCTTTGTGTATCCATGATTTGAATGACATAGTGGAACGCACTGCGCAGTGCGATTCACATATATGGTACTCGGCTGCGTACATCGATTCGGTGTCACCATATTTTCGATTATTTCAGACTCTGGACTATTCGATAAAGTGGACCCATCCTCTTCAGAAGCCGGGCCCTTCATACACATCGCGTCGTTATTATTTTCTGCAGTAAGCTTATTGAATTTCAATATTCGAGACTCTCTACGAACAAGTAAATTCCACGCATTAAGCAAAAAAGTGGAAGAGGATTACAAAAAATTTAATTTGATAATGCTCTTACGAAGATATAGGTACAGTTACCCAGTTAGTTGGATTTCTAATTTATCACACGCTATTGTTCTTATCCAAAAATGTCAGGCACTGTGAGGAGGGTAAATGGGGAAAAACAGGGAGAGAGTCTTGGACTCGCACATGAAAGTCCGAATGACTAGAAAATAAGGGAAGAAAAAGTAAAGCGAAAAAGAAGCTGGGACATGCGAAAGTGCGAATGAAGGACAGTGGACTAAGTTGAGATACACCAGTTTCGAACAAAAAAAAACTAAACCAATAAAAATAAAGCTGAGAAATAGCAGCATTCTATTAAACGCTCTAGGCTCTGCATTAAATAACTTGTCCTGAATCAACTAGGAAAACGAAGCGATGCTAACCAAGTGGAAATTTCGAACAGTTCATTGAAACTGGCCATGGGAAGCCAAATTCCTTAAGCAGTGGTTCGCACTTCATCTGCACTCGTTCACACAAAGGTCGACAGGGGCCAATTGCAATTGGAACCTGAAAGCGACATATATACCTATACAAATGCTGAGCAGATAACAGGAGACAATTGAGTGCAAAAAAAAAAAATTAAAAACTGTCTGCGTGTTTTTTCTTGATGTCGTCTACGTCAATTTTGGCCTCGTTTGACTTTCAAGTTTTTGAAAGCGCAGTTGTGAACAAATAATGGATGCCAGTGTATTGCCAAAAGACCCCTTGCTGTTTGTAATAGGATTATCACAACATAAAATCTATAGGAGAGATCGATCACGGGATTATCGCTCGTTCAGTCGGCTCAAAGGCACGTTTGACAACCTGTCAAA